CTTTTCTTATTGGTAAATGTTTTAGTCTGCAGTTCGGGACCTTAGAGCTCAACTCAAGCCGCCGTCAATGCAGGTAGTAATAGTATCTTTTCTCACCCATAGATCTGCTGTCTGCGTGCTCTATAATATAAATGCCGAAAAAGATGTAGCATATTGTATGTAGCTTGTTTCTGTATCAAACGTTAAGTTGCTTGGTACAGATGTAGCATTTTAGGAGTTCGGTTAGACTTTTGATTATGATGTCATTGGATGCTGCTTGATGAGTTATGGGGAAGTAAAGAATTTAACCTGAATGTTGCTGAAATCTAAAAGAATGTTCAAGATAGTTTGATGTGTATTATGGAACTGCCAACCGAGGGAAGTTAGTTTTGCTCTACTCCCACCTGGCTACCCTCTAACAAAAATAGAAGTCCCATTCCTCTCTTGGGGTTATTTTTGATGTAGAGTTTCTTTGTATATGGAGGAGGGTGGTATTTTTCCTACCACAGGTTACATTAGTTTCATCCCACCTCATTTTTTTTTCCGAATTGTGTCTTGGCTTAGTTTTGTCCGCCAAAACGAGGACAACGGCCACCTAGATCTCAATTTTTAAACTTCCTTTTTCTTTTTGGTTCATTTGGTTGTTGCTTTGCTAATTTTATGCCGTTTGCTTAAATAATACACTTTGTTAGCTGGTGCACCTTCATGTGTAATTTTGGATACATTCGAGAGAGTATTAACTGCTTGATTTACTTAAAGAAGGTGCTTCCAGTTATGAAATCTTAATTCCAACTCCAATCCAATTATCAACTTTATCCACGTATTGGTCTGAGAATACAATCCCTTTGTTAACACTAGTGCTATGGTGTGAAGGCTCTAGAATATCCCCNGAATACAATCCCTCTGTTAACACTAGTGCTATGGTCTCAAGGCTCTTGAATCCCCCCTCCCCCCTAATATACTCGGTATGCTAGAAACCATTTAAGATAATTCAACTTTAAAGTCTTTATTTTACCCTTAATGAAAAGCTTTATAATCATACAAATGTCATAATCCCACAAAGCTTTTACTCCTTAAGCATTTAAGACCACAAGTTTCAAAAGTCTTCTATTTTTTTATTAAACTCCGTGCCGAGTCAAACTACCTCATCTAAATTGAAACCGAGTAGTAATTAAGGTTGTAAATTTTAAGTTACCAAGGGGAATCGTGAATGGAAATGGTTTAATTTGTGTTTCTATTTGTTGAATGTTGATACATTTGATGCGAGGAAAGAGAACTGAAGGGTAAGAACAGCATATAGTTAACATGAAACCGCCCTATAAGATAGAACTGCTTAGGAACTGCAAAATGGTGGCCTGGACCTCTTATCTCCTTGAATCATTGTGCCTAATTCTAATGTAGATCCTACTAGCTAAGTTTGGATATTTAATCTTTTCAAAAAGATTTAGTCCTCAGTGGGCACTTGTTCTACTATCTATACTCCTAATTAAGGGACAGATATATTCTTACTGTGTCACAATTTGTGAAGCTGACACTATTTTGTCTATTGGAAACAATCTCTTTGCCCTTCCAGAGTAGGGGTAAGGCTGTGTACATCCTACCCTCCCCAGACCCCACATGTCGGATTACACCGGGTTGTTGTTGTTGACGCCCTCATAATCACACTTATAAAAACTCAGAGATGTTAAGATTGTTATTGTATTTAATGGGTGGTGATTTCCTTGTTTAACTCTGCTTTGACAGTTATGCTCAGTCACATAAGTTCAACCTATATTTTAAAGTTTATATTCTTTCCTAGACCTTGAAGGTGAGCCTTGGCGTAATTGGTAAAGTTGCTGCCATGTGACCCGGAGGTCACGGGTTCATGCCGTAGAAACAACCTCTTGCAGAAATGCAAGGTAAGACTGCATACGATAGACCCATGTGGTCCAGCCCTTCCCCGTACCCCGCGCATAGCGGGAGCTTAGTGCATCGGGCTGCCCTTTTATTCTTTCCTAGACCAAAATTATGCACACACCGGATGCCCCCTTAACTAGTTTCTCTAAGATTTGTATTCGAATTTGCTCAATGATGCCTAATAGATGTTCATGTTAGGTGAGAACAAATGGTACTAAGAAGAAAGTTTCAAGGAATATATAATTAGTTCCATTAATTTCCAGAAATCTTGACGTTGCAATGCCAGATTTATGGAATAAAACCCTTTCTGTTTTTTTTTTAAAATTCTTCATGTTCTTTTTTATCTTTTTTTTTTCCTTCTCAGAGCAGCACTATGATTTGCTGAATACACCTTTGCAGCTTTGTGTTCTTTTCTGCTATGATATGCATCTGCACTGAGTGCTCTCTCTCTCTCTTTCTCTCTCTCATCTTATACCATAACGTTTCAAAAAAAATTGGGTTAACATTTGCTTTTAATCTCTTTGTTGGTGGTTCACTTTTTGCTCAGTTTCTTTATTCTTTTGGGGGGTATATTAACAGGCACGGAAGCTATTGCTAGATCCAGCAATTCATGAAGAGTTCACTAGACTGAAGGTAAGTTCTGGACTTTGATTTTAATTTCAAGTTGAAATGTACATAGAGGAATTTGATACTCTTATTTAGTGGTTAACTTCGTTATGCTTCCAAGTCTCTATGATGGTTGGCTGGTATTCGTTATTTACTGGGGGCAGTGTTCTGTTGGTGACATAGTTACTGGTTGCCTTTTGAATTGCTCTGTGAGCTCTGATGATGCATCCTTCTGCCAATGAATAAAGCATGTTGGTGCTTAAATTTTTGGATGGTTTTGTCATGTAATTTAGTTGACTTTCTCATTGTTCCTTCATGGGCTTGCTTGCCTGATTGCACGCTTGCTTACATCTATTCTTGTTTTGCAATACCAGAATTTGGTTGAGGAGAAGGATAAGAAGGTGAAGGAGTTGCATGATAACATTGCTGCAGTCAATTTTACCCCGCAAAGCAAAATGGGGAAGATGCTAATGGCTAAATGTAGGACGCTGCAAGAGGAAAATGAAGAGATCGGAAACCAGGCTAATGAAGGAAAGGTATTAGATGATTATTTTGATCAGTGAAGTGTGTAAAATATATAATTCATTTAGTTCACAACTGAATTTAGAGATGGAAGAGACTAGTCTATTCATAGGTTACCAAGTTGCTTAGCTTGGTTTTTCCAGGTTTGTACATCATACATGTGAGATGTTACAGATGGTCTATTTCTTCACTTGCAGATGCATGAATTAACAATGAAACTGGCTTTGCAGAAGTCTCAGAATGCTGAACTCAAAAGTCAATTTGAAGGTTTATGTTCTCTCAAGTTGCTTCATAAATACATCTCCGTTTGCCTTTTGATTGGGATAGGAATTTTTCGTTTGCTGCTTGTTGTATTGTGATTGACTAGTCGGTTTGATACAACAGGTTCCAGATATGATCAGTGTAATTGATAGGAATATTTGTGAGGATGTTTGGATTTGTTTTAAATAGGATGTTTATATTTGCTTTAAATGTTGAAACATTTGGTAATATTTGCATATACTCCTCTGGTTCATGACATTACATGAGTAAAGGCATACTCTTAGATTATGGTTCTTTGTGGAATTTAAATGCTTCAGTGAGTATTGGAAAAGGAACTATACCACCATGATTCACATGCATATCTTCTCTGTACCCAGAAAGAAACCAGCTGCTGTCACCTGATATGTGTGGTTACCATATATCTGCATGCCCTTATTCATGCGACAGTAAAGTCATGCCAGACATAAGGCATGCTTTTACATAGAATTGAGTCATATCATAATCAGAGAGACCTGCACCATCCCCAACTGAGAAACCATTAATTCCTACACTGGTTCAGCCATTAACCTGCTCTTGCCAGTGCTCACAATTTGTTTGTAGATTAAATTAGTTTCTCCTTGCACTATGGAGAAACTGGGCTTTTGTATGGATGGGTCTTTATGCCTTCTGCCTTGGTTTCCATCTTCTCCCCCTAATATCTTGCCAACAGTGTAGTTTACTTCGGTTATGAGAACTTGTTTTAATGAAGTCGAAGCAGGTTGATGGTGGATTGTAGTATTTGACTTTTCACATTCATATAATTTGTGGGGAAAAAAGAAACATGACATAACTAGGCATCAAGCACCCTTGTTGCTTAAGGTATCTATATCTCTGCTAATTTTGTTGTAGAATTTTCTTGACATGTGTTCATGTTACCTTTTTGCTCTCATCGGGATTCCTTTTTGTCTGACCTAACCTAACCAGTTTCAGTTGATTTGCCATCGTTATTGAGAATGCAATGATGAGTAGATTGATTCACTCAATTTCTAACAATTTTCATTCGCACTTGCAGGCCTGTGCAAGCAGATAGAGGGACTGACAAACGACGTGGAAAGATCAAATGAAATGGTGCTTTACACAGTTTCCATTTTATCTAGAGTGAGTCAGTATTAGGATGACTTTTGAAGGATGTGGAGTTTAATGCTTTAATTTTATTTGTCCTAGGTACTAATCTTGCAAGAGAAACTTGAACAGAAGGATGAAGAGATCAGTAAGCTGAAGGTAGAGCTGAATGAAAGAAACACAGTAATGGAGAAAACCGAATTAACTCCTGATAAAACTGCCAGTGATGAGGGAATGACAGCTACAGAAGCACAGGTAGAGAATGAGTAGGTAGGAATTAGACTAGTGCTATTTGTAGGTAACACATCTTATTTTTCCTTTCCAAAAAAAGTTTTGTTTGGTGAATGCGTTCGGGGCTTTACCTTCATATGTAAAGCTACTCTTTATAGATCAATTATTTATCCATAAATGGTACAACAAGGCAAACGGAAGATGAAGCCGCCGACCTGACAACAAGAACACTCATTTCCAAATGCTCTTGTAAAGTAACAAGGCATGACCATATCTACTCAACTGATAAGCTGCAGACAGTCATACCAACTGGTAGCTGCAGTTCGTGTATTTAGTTCCCTATCCATCACACCAGCACCAGTATGTTCTATATTGCCCTTTTTTTGGGTTAACATTAGAGAAATGCAGAACATTTTTACAGGTACTAAGTTGCAATTTGGCCGATGTGTTATTGTGCGGCACTGTGAGTGTTGTTTGTTTTGTAAAGTGTAGCCAATCTTGCTGTGGCGAAGTGCATCGTTAAACCTCTCCACCTCGCTTTTTCCTCTTCAATTACGCAGTAAGCACGTTTCCTTTCAATATATAGAAAGACGACAATACTGCCTAACCGGCAAATGGGCTTCAAAACCAAATTGTCGTCCCGATTTTTGGTCATTATTCTATTGATTTTGATATTTCCGACAAAGATTAAACTAATTTACTAACAATATAATTTTGGAATTTCTAAAATTTTAATTTCGTCATATTAATAAAAAATTAAAAGTTTTTATTAATCAAAGCAACTTTACAACTTTATATTTGACACGATCCGGATTTTTCACCCTCGGGGTGAGAGCCCCGTTGTGCCCGGACCCGGTCGCACCACGAGGCGCTGTCTACGAGTCGGGTTGTTTGGGAATGCAGCCCAAATCGGGCGGTGAATTCCGTCCAAGGCTAAATACGGGCGAGGGGTCGATTTTTGGATTTTTGGGAAGAATGATTAGAAAGCTATAATTAGGCATTGGATTCGAATTGTTTAGAATTTATTGATGTTATGAAGTCGATTATGTATAGATACAATTGATTTTGAGCTGAATTCGAGAGGAAAGGCGGTAATTGAGGATTGAAGGAGCTCCGCTGAAAGTAGTAGTGAAGAGCTTGGTGAATCTGTCCAGTCTCCACAAAGCATCGGCAGACATAGCCGCTCCATCGCCGGTCTGGGCCACTACACCCGGCTGAATTGCCACCGCTGGCTGAACCGTTGGAACCTGAATCTGGGGAGCTATTCAACCATGAGAGCAGATATAGCAGAATTGACAGATCAAATGAATAGGATGACAATGAACCAGACACAACAAATGCAACATGTTCAACAAATGTCGATTTGAGGATACAGAGGCGGTGGTATTTGGAAATGAGGTAGGGTTAGGGTGTAGTTAGAATTAAAAAGGAAAGGAATTATGAGGGTCGTTGATCTAAAAGATCAACGGCCAGGATTTAGCGGGTCTTGGGTGGTTTAGGGTTTAAGGGTTTAGCGGCTTGGGGCTTGGGGTTTGCGTAGGTTGGTGAAGCTGAGGCATCGCGTGCGCGATGGTGGGGTCGCGTTCGCGAAGAAGAGTTTTGGTCAATGGAATTTTTGTGCTTCGCGAACGCGAGGCGTTG